AATTAAACAGACATCTTCATAGCCGATAGACTTTACCTAATACTAATTAATAAATTCATTAACTTTTTACATCTATTTTAACTAACTCTAAACAACAGTACAATATACCAGTATTTGAATATTGAAAAAGAGATACAACCGTCTTATATTCATAAAGATTAACCAAGATAATTAATATAAGAATGCTGTAGTTAAATTGTTACCTCTAAATTATTTTACGAATAAAACATCTGTTCTCTGCTCAGTGACAGGATGAGTTATTGAAATTCTTCGGATTTGCCTCAACCGGAACATTACAGAATTCCATCCACATCCAAACTCACGAAGACATACGGAACAATTTTCATTAAAACATTTTTCTCTCAATTATTTCACCGTTAATTTTTTCAATTATTATAAAAGTATTCGCCCACTTTGTACGGTCAGAATTTGGAGCCGAGAAAGTCTGGATTTAGAGCATAGTTGTAACAACTTTTCATAATCATCAGAGCATGGGTATTTGTGACTTATAAAATAAATTACCTACCTATTATTTTTGTGGAATGTTCTTATTAGTTTTTTTTGTAATCGTCGGCTTCATATTCAAAAGTTATTTCCCTAATCTTCAATGGTTTCCTAGGTATTAAATTTAATTATGTAAGATAAATGAGCAAATACTATTTACGTTGAAGCTTACAGAAAATGTTTGTTAGTTATTCAATACGTATCCTACAAGACGAGTATTTGACCATGAAATATCCTGGTATAACAAGGTTATAATTTGGAGCCGAGAAAGTCTGGATTTGGATCATAGTGGTTACAACTTTTTATAAGCAGAAGAGCGTAGGAATTTGTGACTTACAGAATTACTCATTTATTTTTGTAGAATGTTCTTATTAGTTTTCTTTGTAGTCGTCGGCTTCATATTCAAAAGTCTAATCTCTAATTTTCAATGATTCTCTAGGTAATAGATTTAATTAGGCAAGTTATATTTTAAGCAGAAACTATTAAAATTTAAGCTTACAGAAAACATTGGTGTTTAATAGGTATGCCACATGATTAGAGTTTCTTTTCCATTAAATATCTGGACAAATAATTAACGGTTAAGAGTAATCCTACGAAGATGTCATAATTATAAGATGAAAATAAAGAAAATGTTGCTAGACCAACTTTAGTCACTCAAAAAGACTCAAAGCAAGGGATATAAACAGATCCAGCGCAATGGATTGTCTTAAAACGAATTACCGAATTCATGGTTATAGCTGTGGAAGGCCGGAAGCTTCGCCAGCCGGATGTCAATGTGACGTAAATTTCTTTCGTTTCTATTTGAGTTTTCCCCTGAAATTATTATGGCTTCGTTTAAGGAGAACGCTTCCATTAGGATGTCGCTGCACTTCAGAAGCATTGCCGAAGAAGATAAGTTGTGAATGTTATGAGATTATTGTTAGAGCATACAATATAGTAGCCTGAATAGTAAATTCCAATTTAAATAACAGGTCAATAACACTTAAAAAGCATTTAAGTAAAAATACTCGTAATGTACTTATACACTTTATATTGTTAAAAATTCAATTCTTTGCCAGAGATTTATTTAAATAAAGAAAATAGTTTGTTAAGCCCTTCAAAGATAATAATATATTATAATGTGTGCAAGTAACTGTTGCATGTTTACAATAGTACATTGTTCACCGAGACGAAAAAGTGACCTGTTACCAACAAGGAAGTAGTTTCACCCGAGTTGGGAATAGTATTTTCTTTCGAGGGATAAATTGTGCTTTACACTATACCTACGAGGAAATAAAAGATAATTTTTCTTCATTTTTTTAACGGTTTTTTTTTCTTTTTTTTAATTTGGCGGTGTGTGGATTGAGCGGCGTGCTGATTGGGACCAGTGTAGATTGCGCCCTGTGCGGGTTGATGCCAGTGTGGATTGGGCCCAGTGCGGATTGGGCCCAGTGCGGATTATGCGGTGTGCGGATTGGAACCAGTGCAGATTGTGCCATGTGCGGGATTTGGATTAGTGTGGATTGGGCTCAGTGCCCTCCCCTATCCGACTCAATATATTTTTTTTACCTAGCCACACCGCAATACTATCCGACCAATAAAAACAGCACGTTAACAATAAATTTTCATACACTTTTCCAGCCCTCTAAGTAGTACAATAGTAATGAGGTCTTTCTGCTTTTTTTTGAAAAGTATGAGGCACTTTCCGAGCGGGTATAGTATAATTTACTTTTTTATGTTAAAAGGGTAACAAACAGCCGTATGTATAGTCCAGGCCTATTTAGACTCTTGCGATACCAAAACTATCACTCGCACCGTTGCCTACCCTAACCCGATCCCCTGCCCCGTGAAGCCCTGGAACCCTGTTCATTGAGAAACACAACACCACCAAAAGGTGTGTTATTTAATTGCGATCTCCTGTAAGCTGGAGGTTATTTCCCCAGACGGGCGCTCTTATTAGAAACCCACTATGCCTTACCTCTCTTAAAACATCCAGTCTCATATTAGGTAACTTAATATTAATCTTCAGTTATAATCATACAACAGGAAGCTCAAACGAAATTAAACTGTCCGTTGATTGACGAAGGGCCCCGTTGTCCTCTGTAATTACCAACAGAGGAAGCGGGTAAGACGAGCAATGTGGGGGCATGGTACAAGTTTTTGACCATTATTTTTCCTTCACTATAATATTAGGAAATCAATATTGCAGTAATTAGAAAATAGCATTTTTTCTAAATCATCAACATCATCATTTAAATGCTTACTTCCAGGAATTAGTCTCCCGTATCCAGGTGTGATAGTGTGATATTAGATTTCATATTGTAATATACCATTCATTGAGTTCTAGGCTGCATGTTCTCGCAAATATTATTTACCACGTGGTTTTCATCCTATACTCATCAAATCAAACGGATGTCAATATAGTCCATATGGCTAACTGAATCTAACCATACATGCGTTATAATAAATCAGCCTATTGGTTTTACCGGCCCTGGCTTCTATCGCCTTTAGCCGTGCTACTCCTAAAATTATTAAATATGCACAGATTATTATTACACGTGCACAGATTAGCATCTGATAGATGATATCAATCAATCAATTATTTATTTATTTTTCTCTCACATGAAAATAAAGTTCATTATAGTATACCACTTGTGGTTTACAATATGTTATAGTATTGTGAGAGACTGGTGCCTGAATTAGGTTTCAGTGAAACCTGTGACACAGGTCACCAGGACCCTCCCGCTGACTGAAGTAGAACTTTTTATTAGCTGCAGTAAAATGACGTTTTGTGGGTTACCGCTTTTTGAAGAAAAATAAATAGGGATGTAGCTAAGTGAGTAAGTGAATCATTCAATAAATGAATGATCAGTTTGGTTTTGTATAAGAGATTTAATATTAAGTTGTAATGTTTTTTTATTCTATTATTATTACTACCTAATAGTAAAGGATTGATCTTTTTCATTGGAAGTATAGGGACGTACATCCAAAATTAAACAAAAAGTTATTTATTAATCAATCATTTTCGGAATCACTATCGCTGTTGCTTTCGGTCACACTAATGACAAATCTGTCTGTCACTTCATCTATAATATGATCAAGGTGGCACATTTTGTCTTCCTCTTTTATAGTGTGAGACACACAGTCATTCCACTTAGGCGGTGTCACTTTGTTAATTGCTTCTTGGAATAAAGTTTTCACTTCTTGCATTTTATATGTTTTATTATTGTTTGCGACGTGCCCTTTTACCTGAGCCCAAACCAACTCGATAGGGTTCAATTCACAGTAATAAGGGCAGTCTTAAAAGTCCGATACCTTTTTGTGCAGCAATCTCGTCCACGGCATATTTCTCAGTATGATATTGTTGTTTCACAATATCTATGAGAGTGTAGTATCCTTCACAATATTTGGTTCAAATGTAATATTTTAGTGGTCAGTCACTCTTGAATCTAATTGGTTAAAATTCCACATGAGGTGGGAGAAAACATATTATACCTAACGTATAATAAAAAGATTAGTGATGACAGGTAAACTAACCTTTGCGATGGTGGGTACTTCATTTCTATGAAAGAACTGATGTACAATTCGTCTAATAGCGGTGAACGTGAAATCATCAAGTTTTTCTTTAAATGTAAATTTTGGGACAGGTTTTTCGGGAGGTTTTAGTGATTCACAGTCGTTCTCCTTGTGCTCCTTTAAAATGGAATAAACAGTGCGGAGGTATATTCCCAAGACTTCAGCCACCTTGTTGATGCATTCACTTGTATTTGGAACTTCAATGTTTGATTCTGTAGATTTCACTTCACATATTTGTAAACGTTTCTGACCCAAAGTTTCTCGTCTGCACTTAGAGCTACACGTGCCCTTTTTTTCTTAGGAGATAAAAATGTATCTCCATCTTGTGATATGCTCAACTGAGTATCCATGTATTCGATGTAACAAAAGAACAAACGAAAAAAAGCTGACACGATTAACAAAAATAAGTAGGTAACGAAAAACAAACACAACGTAACAAAAATTTAATAACAATGATAACTAAAACAACTCGCAGTGGGCAAAGCAAAGCTATTCGTGCACTCAAAACCTGAGTTAGAAGCCGAATGAGCGAATTACAAATAAAATAAAATGGCGGACAAGCCTCATCGTAGCATCGTAACTAAAAACCAGTACCAACTAGAGATTTTATACAGCCTTTTATTTTTATGAATAACAAATAGAATTAAGTATGATCATTATGAGTTAGTTATGGATCGATTATATTTTCTGTGAACCTAATCACATCCCTATTGAAATTAGGCGGTCAACATTATTTTACGGAATGACATTTTGAAACATCATTTTACTGCAGCTAATAAAAAGTCGAAGTATACATACATCATAAGAACAGGCTATGACGTGACTTGAGGCTTAAGTAATATTAGGTATAATTTTAAAAACTTTATGCTAATTTTAGGTAACTGTGGCAGAGTACATTTACATATTAAATATTTAATTTATCTTTATATATATAATTCTTCTGTGAGTGTGTATGTCACTGAACTTCTCTTAAACGATTGGACCGATTTTGATGAAATTTTTTGTGTGTGTTCAAGGGGATCTGAGAATGGTTTAGATTCACAATTTTGTCCGCTGGACAACCCCTATTTTTTTAGGGCGGTACGAAGTTCGCTGGGTCACCTACTATATATATATACCTACATATATAAAAGTACATATATTACACAAATTACACAATATCTATATATATAAAAATGAAACCCGTTTTCCGTTGTCACGACATAACATGAAAACGGCTTCACCGATTTGGCTGATTTTTTTTTTTAGAATATTCCTTGAAGTACAAGGATGGTTCTTACGAAGAGAAAAATTAAAAAAAATGCCTGAAAATGTCAAAAAACAAAACTTTTCTTTACTCCCATACAAACGATTCGTAATAATACTTAAAAGTCAATTTGAACTTTAATACCATACCATAAATTTCAAATGTTAGTGGAGAGATTCTGGGAAGGCAAAACAATTGAGCGACGTGATGTCAATGGAAGTTTGGAAAAGATAAATATACCATCTTCAGTTTTTTTATAATCTATATATTTTATATAAAACTCAAAGGTGACTGACTGACGTAATAATCTATCAACGCCCAGCCCAAACCACTGGACGGATCGGGCTGAAATTTGGCATGCAGGTAGATGTTATGTACGTAGGCATCCGCTAAGAAAGGATTTTGATCAATTCTACCCCCAAGGGGATAAAATAGGGAATGAAAGTTTGTATGAAACTTTGTCAATTTTAAAACCGAACGGGCTGAGACTTTGCATGCAGGTATAAGAATAATCATAGATGAATGTCATTGTGTATAAAACAAGCCTGAGAACAAAAACTGTAGTCTACGCTTCAGCTCTACACCGAAGCGAAGCGAGGGCGGGCCGCTAGTAAACAATATTAATCAACATTTAGTAAGACTATGTGTATATTTGTGTGCGTGTGTGTGTATGTGTGAGAATGAGTGAACACTAATGGGGGCCAGCACATCGGGAAGCGGAATCAAGTAGTGGGCAACCTGGACAGACAAACTACTTAAGAGGAGTAATTAAGTTTTCTGTTGCCTGATAATCAAGTCTCCCCAGGTATTTGCTAACAGTCCACTTGCATACTGTTTTAGAAAGAGGATAGATGTTAAGTAACCCATTTAGCTTGTTGTATAGAAAAAACCCTAAAAAGCAGTAGAAGTTATGAAAAGCTGCCGTATTAAATAACCGTGTTGAACATATTAAGCCCTTTTTTCGCCTATTTTTTAAGGTCTGCAGGTCAAATTCCAGCTGGGAATGCATCTTCAGAGTGGTGTGGAGTATAAACGTTTGCCTAACCGTGAGCACATCCCAGACCCGATACAGATTTTCCGTGGAATGACGAAAGGGTAAACCAGCTGCCACTTTTAGAATGCATCGCTGGGCCCTCTCCACTACAATATTCCGTCAGGGACTGGCAGAGAGCAAACTACACCATCTTGATCACCCGACGGTCAGCCACATGTTTCATAGTTTTAAAGACGTAGATAAGTTTTCTTAACCGTCTAGGTTACAAGACAGTTGACGTGCAGCATAAAGCTAAGCGTGTGGTCATATCAAAGAGATCTAGTTTTTCCTTGACTTAATTTTACTGATGGTCTGATGTGTGTGCTCCACTTATAAGACTTGCCCTTTGAAAAGAATATGTAAATTATAATGATTCACTTCACTTCATGCATGGATAAATGAATATTTAATGCATTTATCCAGGCCGTATTAGAAATTGTAATTATCCACCGTAGTGGGGTATGATGCATTCTCTCGAAAACTACTGAAAGGTTTTTCATTAGGTACCAGTTAGATACTTTTCACGTAACGTTTATTAAAAATTATAGATAACACAAATTCCACAAACTGCTTAGCAGGGACTTTAGATATTATACATGGGACACTCAGAAAGTTTTGAAAAACTTAAAAACTAACTTCTATGAAAAAAATATTTTTATTTAATCTTTTCAAAGAACTCTCCATCAGGCTCTATACAAAGTTTCATGCGTCTGAATCAATTTTCAAAACATTTTTTTCAGTCCTCCGCAGACACCTCTTCCACGGCCTTCTCAAACGCTTCTTCCGGCGATGAAAACTGTATTCCTTTGAGCAGATTTTTGAAGTTATACTTCTTTAGGCGCGTTATGAAAAAATGATGAGAGTGAAATTTTAAGATGCGCGCGCATCACTGTAACACAAAAAATTAACTTTTGTGTTTACCGCACATTAAGAAAATCTACCAACAAAATAGAATCTCTATTTTGTGGGTGCTAACGACTGCATTGTGAAGGCCTATCAAAAGTATTTATTAATCTGGAACAACGGAACCAAAGCGCGATTCAGGAGGCTACAGCGCCATCTCTTGACCATTGGTGTAGTAATACCAAAATCCACATCTTTATTTTTTGTAATAAAGTAACAAAAAGTATTTATTAATCTGGAACAACGGAACCAAAGCGCGATTCAGGAGACTACAGCGCCATCTCTTGACCATTGGTGTAGTAGAACCAAAAACCACATCTTTATTTTTTGTAATAAAGTAACAGTTATAGGTATTCATATTTATAATATTTATTCACATGTTTCTAGTTTGTATATTCGGTATACGTGTTTGAGTTTCATACAAGTGCAAATCACATATGTTCTAATAAATTATATTCAGTAGCGATTTTAATTGAATATTTTGATTATTTATTTATTTTTTCAAATTAACACTGAACTTTATTGACTGTGTCCTTTTCCAGACTTTTTATTAATTTATTGTAATTAATTATTTGCATGCAATTAAAAAGTAATTTTAAACGATGCCAAAGAAGGATAACTTCTCACGCGCCTACATATGTACACGCACCCATTTTTTTTATTTTAGGGAATAAAAAGAAGTCACACGGAGCCAGACCAGGACTGCAAGGAGGGTGTCCCAGGACTCTAACTGGTGTTGCGCGGACAGTCGGCAACGGTTGCCGCAACCACACCCGCACTCCCGGCGTGCATTGGGGGGACTGTGGTCCTCAGACTGTACGCCGGGTGACCGGTGCAGGAGTATTGTCTGGTTTTTAGTGGCCCTGTTCAGGGCGTTAGGTAGGGCCCTGCTCATTTCACTCGGCCTAAGGGCTGGCTGAAATGAGCAGGGAGGAGTCCCACATACCCTCTTCTCGCTCCCCCGGTGGTTGAAGGATGCGTAAAGCTTTCCCAGACAAAAAAAAAGGACTCTAACTGTTGTGGAGTCCAGGAAGTCCTTCGTTTTGATAGCAGAGTGCGCGGGCGCGTTGTCGTGGCGAAGAAGGACCCGGCGGAGCCCGGTGTTAGGTCGCTTGTTGCTCATTGCAGAAAAATTTCTGGCGGGCATTTTGTGCTCTACCATTCGGCGTTGATGCTGCGTTGGTCTCGAAGTGGAATTGAAATTAGGTACCCCGTCAAAGTGAAGAAACTATAGCGATCAATATTTTCTCTGCGCTCCTCGATCGCTTCATTTTCGTAGGCGTTGGTGCATTTCGAAACAGCCAAACTGTCGACTGACGCTTTGTTTCTGGATCGTATTGATAAATCAAGGATTCGTCACCTGTCACAATATCGTAAACGCGCCGTGACGAGCCTGGATCAAATTTTTGTATCATATCACTGCACCAATCCACACGGACCTGCTTCTGAGCTTCGGTGAGGTTGTGTTGAGGACCCAGCGGGAAACTATCCTCCTTACGCAAAGGTGCTCATGCAAAATCTGGTGAACACTTCCTGAACCAATCTGAAGATTATGCTGAATCGCTTCGTACATAATTCGTCTATTTTCTTGAATTAAAGTTTGTACTGCCAGCCAGTGGCGGCGCTAGACCACATGTGGACGTCGGCGACATCAAGTTCGAAAGGCCTATTTTACTGCGCAGTAAAAAACCGTTAAATTAAGTGAACCAAATTATAAAATAACGTATGAGTAAACTAGTTTTATTGTTGATAATCAAATGATGACAAAAATAATAACAAACAGAAATTTCATTACAAAAATAGTGTTGCCAGACAGTCGATTCTGAATACCCGTAAAGTACTACTCGCTTCCATCACGCACGTGTTCGAAAATAATAAGTCATTATCATCTGCTTAGCTTTTTCCCCGAATTGTTCAGGGTCGGCTACCTAAGCCAGGCCAGGAGAAACGAAAATAAATAGGTAACTTGTAACCACCACTCCTTTGTTCATCCCCCAAAGTAAGAAAACCGGGTTTAAACTCGCTCACCAGCGGTAGAGGGTTGCTTTTGAAGGTCCTTTATCCATAAAAGCAGTTCGAAATCGATCAAATGACTCATCACGTTTTAAGACACATTGAAAATCGTAAAAAATCATAGCACGAAAATGTTCTCAATGCAGATCCATTTTTTAATTAGAAAATAAAAAAATTGCTCTCGAAAAAATGAGGAGCGAAATTTTAAAATCGAACAATGGTATTTTTACTTTTAAATAATCGAAGTTTTCAAAGTGTGTGTGTTTTAAATAATCGAAGTTTTCAAAGTGTGTGTGGCCACAAGTGGCCAGTGCCTACATACATAAAAACTATTTTTCGCAAAACTTTCTGAGTGGCCTGTTGTGAGTTGTTTGATATGTGCTTTGATACGAGTATAATTTAATAACTGTACCACAATGTACTAATGTCGATGTCAGAATGTCTTCATTTTTTCTTTGTTTACATTTTAACGCCTAACACGACCTCGCACAGGCCCTGCCAGAATACTAGCGCTGTTACAGTGAAGGAGTATTCTCTCACTGTGTAAGCATAAGCTGAGGCTGGGTCCTGATTAGCCGTCTTAGTTTTAGTTTTATTATTTTTTGTTCCTAGGTTGTTTCGTTTATTTTTCTGTTTTTATTTAATAAATAAATAAAGATTTCCAACACCCACACCAATTAGCCTAGCCCCAAAGTAAGAACTGTATGTGTTATAGGATACTAGGGATAGAATACATATACTGTACAAATATAATTATATTTATTTAGATATACATATTAAACATCCATGACTGGAGTACAAATGTTCGTATTCATCACACAAACATCTGCCCCCACCGGGATTCGAACCCGGGACCTCTCGAGTAGGCGACACCATGAAACCCGGCGTACAAACCACTCGGCCACGGAGGTCGTCGTATTTATAGGGTTTTTGTATATAAGATAGCCAGTAAAGGGTTTTTTCATTTCATTTCAAATTAGTTTCGGACTGGGAAAAAAGCATTGATCACTTTAGCATGTCATTGTGTCACCTGCTGCTGCTGCTGCTGCTGATATGCTGACACCTTGAATGTAGCTAAAAACTTATATATGAGGTATGTCAACTATTATTCACTATCTCTAAGAGCCGAACAAGATTAATTTGCTGGAAAAGACAATGTAGAATTCAAATAGCAGACATTAACTGACATTGGACCGCAAAGTAGCCGTTATAAAGACTGACGGATGCAATCGTTTGAGATCGCTTAGTTATGTAACCGAGGTCTGCAGCGAGTCTCATTTCTTTTCCTTTTAATGTTGTTCGCTCGTTCAGCATAATTGGCAATAAAGGTTGCCTTTGCTCATTGAGAGCACTTGTGACGCACGATCTCAAAGCACAGAACTAATAAAGTTCTTCTGATGAGAAGCTTATTCCCAACAGAAATGTGCAGGAAATAAGCATCGCTCATATCAGTCCTTCTTCCGAATATGAAATGTTATAGAATTTTTGAATTTCTCGCAAGAGGGCAAGCGAAACGAAAAGAATATACATTGGTTCCCTACATCCTCAAATAAATATTAAAACCCTATCAAAGGACAGGTGCTTCGAAACTATTGTAGGTCGGCAGCTTTAGTAGGCCAAGAGCCAAGAGATACGTACTTCAAGTACAAAAAAAATCTTAAAGATGTTGTTAATGTTGTATTTCCTTTAGGAAATCATTCCTATGTCTTCCCTTAAAGTTTTAATGTTTGCTACCCAAGAAAGTCTAGAGCAAGATTGGATGAAATTCAGAATACATTTTTTTTTATCTAGTAAAAATTTAAAACTCCTGTGATTTTATCAATTACGTGAATTTTGGTATACTCGTGTCTTGTGTAACATAATTTCGCGGTTAAAAGTATTTTTAACTCGTAATGTATTTTTTTTCTATGGACCCGAATCACAATTTTCTATTGTTGACAGCCATAACAATGTATGGTGAAAGCTGTTGGTTGCATCTAAAATATTGTGGGGTACAATCTTTCACAGCATTATACATATTCACTTAAAATCTAAATAAAATATAAGTCTGAAATTGAATCATCAATATTTTACTCTGTAAACCAAAGGAGCAAGTTTCTATAAAGTCTATAGAGACACTGAACGTACGGATTTAAATAAACTCAAGTAACGACATAAAACCAATTAATCAAAAAGTAACAAAAGGATATATTATAACAGGGGCTTGTTTTTCTCATACATCTACTACATTTTTGTTTAACTGACAGGCGCGGGTGGCGAATTTTTGATTATTATTTCAACCAATTCGCCCGTGAATTTGCACTTTCAGAATTCAACAGCTAGCCGCTTGTTATTTTACTGTATTGCAGTTCTACAGGATTTAATTTTAAGCTTCGAATAAATATAAATGTCACTGCATGATTTCCAGAGCTTCTCCATTGGGGATGGGGTTCGGTTAGGCAACGCGCGAGTGATGAAACCACCATTAATAGGGATGATGACTAACTTTTTTTCTTCGTCTATCAGGTAGAAGAATATCAACAAGTATTGGACACGTATTTTTTCTGTAGTCACATAATCGCATGTCGCATGACGACACGTCTTGGTACAATCTTTACAGGTCGCGGCACGTAACTCTGCAATTCTCTTTAACGCATGTTTTGATCTGTGCTACTTCCCAGCCGCCTGGAAAGAAGCAATAGTGATAGGCATCCCCAAACCCGGGAAACCCGCGCACCTCCCCAGTAGCCATCGCCCTATTAGCCTCCTCAAGGCAATGGCGAAACTTTTCGAAAAAACCATACTGACCAGACTAAGAGAGCACCTCCTATCACCATCCGATCCTATTATCATTGACCACCAATTCGGCTTCCGAGCCAAACACTCCTGCCCCCAACAGATCCATCGCATAGTGGAGCACGCCCTAAGCGGCTTCCAACTTAATAAATATAAAACTATTGCAGTCTTCTTCGACGTCGCCAAAGCCTTCGACAAGGTTTGGCACGACGGATTAATCTTTAAATTATATCAATTAGAGTTACCTGACCGCCTAGTTAGGTTAGTAGCCTCTTTTCTATCAAACCGCACCTTCCGCTATAGATACGAAGGTTCACTATCAACGCCCCGCCCACTACGAGCCGGTGTACCGCAGGGGTCCGCTCTCTCCCCCCTGCTATACACAGCGTACACCAATGACATCCCTCAGACCAAGGGTGTCGAGCTCGCTCTCTTCGCGGACGACACGGCCCTCTACTCTAGGGGAGCCAGTACCAATCAAATCATAGCCAAGCTCCAACCGGCAATCACAACACTTGGGAATTGGTTCCGCGATTGGAGAATCGACGTAAATCCGGACAAAAGTTCGGCCATTTGCTTCGATCCCAAGCGCCGCACCAAAACCATACAACACGGTGCGCGGTCTCTGCAAATGCAAGGCATAGCAATACCGTGGCACCGCACGTCAAATACCTAGGGATCACACTAGACAAAAAACTCACCTTCCGTGCACACATCACACGCGTAGTCGCGAACGCGCGCTTTTATATGAGCCGCCTCCACCCGATGCTCGGTAAATACAGCAAAATGTCACTTCGTAACAAGCGAACGCTTTACAAAGTTTGCATACGCCCGGTCCTCACTTACGCGTCACCAGTGTTCGCACACGCGGACGAAGCGATTTTGAACAAACTTCAAGTACTTCAAAATCGCTTCTGCCGCATAGCCACAGGGGCCCCGTGGTACGTCCGCAACGCGGACCTCCACAGGGACCTTCAACTCGACACAATTCAAACACACCTCACAGAGTGCTCGGAACGGTTCTTCAAAGCTGCAGAAGAGCACTCTAACACACTCATTAGATCGGCGTCGGGATACGCTCCACACACTCCATCTCGATTCAGGCCCCGCAGGCCCAAACACGCACTCACAGTCATACACAATAAACTCACGCGCGATCTCGCGGCCCTCTTGGCCGCTGAGGATCCAACACCCGCGATGAGTCCCCCCCGCCCCCCCGACACAGAGAGGTTCGATTCCTCCCAGTCCCCTCCCGTTTCAAGTGCACATCTGAGTGCACTTGTCCTCTAAGCGCATTTTGCGTTATTTTAAACTATGCACTAGTTTAAACTAACGCAGCGCCGCATCATCCCCCTCTCGGGGGGTGACCGCTTCAGATGAAGCTTGTAAGGCCCTTCTGGCCATAAGCATGAATAAAGGGTGTTTTTTAGTCAGTAGGAGTCTGACATAACCCTACAGCCGGCTGTAGGGTATCCATGAGGATTTCTCACCCTCTCCCCCGCCTGGGAGGAAACAAAAAAAAAAAAAAAAAAGCACGTAACTCTAGCGTTGAATAAAACGCGGAGGGGATAGCTGCGCATGGGTACGACTGGAGAGCCAATCGGCGCAACGCACGATCACCCGCGCACCTCGTTTCCCCCCAAGACATACTAATTTTTACTTCTCCGCAATAACGGTCAATGCTAGAATTTCGTGCCGCGACTGATTCTTGTTTAGAAGTGACTTCATGAGCAACCACTCCCAAACTTCTTTAGCTTTGTAATTTTTTGGTCGATTATATATATATAATAAGTTAAACATTATAAGATGCACACACACACACACACACACACACACACACACACACACACACACACACACACACACACACACACACACACACACACACACACACACACATACACTCACACCCACACACACATACACATACACACACTTACACACATAACAAACTCCTTTGGCTATTCCATTGAATTAATAACTTAAGAACAGTTATCTGGATTAATAAATTGTTTACTAAATGGTACACAACTTTATGAATAGGGTGGAGGGTTGATTACCTGAGACACAGGATTCATCCTAGTTCAGGTGTCAACCCACCATAATCTGATCAATACGTACCTTTTATTTTTGGTAAAAAAAAAATGCATGCTTTTTATATCATTGTTTTTATGTAGCCATTAATACCAACATTGTGATTATGGTGAGAAATAAAGGTTATTATAAGGTTATTATTAACAAAAGAAACAATAAGTGTCCATTATTATTTGATAATCTAACTAACTATTCTTGGGTCCCAAAGAGTGACAAAGGAATACTAGAAGTAACTAAACATCCGCTGTTTCAAATGAAAGTATTTCCAACCATAACACCACAATATATGAAATATCCTTGAAACTAATATTACGAACACGGCTACACAGTGACCTAAACTTAACTTAGACACAACCTCTAAGAAATATTTGAATCTTATATTATGGAAAAACACGAGTAATAATTGTTTATAACTTTGTTTTAATGAATTTTATAACAGGTATCCAACTATAAGCTCCATTTAGTTTTGAACTTGATCATTCGGAATGACCCACATTTACCAGAAATGATTAATTATTTATAGTTTTTATAACTAATTCCAAGTTCTAAAAGCAAAAAGTATCTAATTAATACTCTTAACGAATTATGTTTACGCTACCCGCATTAATTTTATAAGGGGTATTTGTTTCGAGTTTAGGAACAGAAAGTTAAATTTAGTTCTTAATTATGAGTTTTAAAGCATAATGAAAAATAAACACGCCTATTACGGTATCATGATATTCAGAACTGGTACGAGACCAGTCTTTCAAATGATCGTAACAGTAAATAAATGAACTGTTTGTGGAAGTAAATATTTTTTATGCAGTAACGAATTATGTATAGAAGTACTGTGTGTAAGTCCTCGAGGAGCTCGATGGCGCAAGTGGTTAGCGCGTTCCGCAGCGATCGTTGAATTTAAGCAACTTTCGCAGTGGTCGGTCATTGGATGGGTGACCATAATTTACTATCTCGAGCTCCTCCGTGTTTCGGAAGGCACGTTAAGCCGTTGGTCCCGGCTGCATCTGCAGTCGTTAGCACCCACCAACCCGCACTGGGCCCGCGTGGTGGGTCATGGCCCAATCTCCCTATTCCATCCATAGGGAAGCCTGTGCCCCAGCAGTGGGGACATTAATAGGCTGATGATGTGTAAGTCCTTATGCGCGCCTCAAAGTAGAAGGCCGTAGACTGACAATATGGCAACCTATCTAATAATTCGATTGAAAAATTATACAAATCAGTTTTTAAAACAGTAATCGTTAATATAAAGTTACATATCGTAAACTAAAGAATTAGACTAAAGATTGATAACAATCTAAAAATTACAACAAATTGAAACATGCAAGAAAAATTAGGACAAACCTCTCTTTTAAAACTTTTAGTTTGCCTTTTCAAATGAACAAACCGAAATTACGCCTTAATTGCTCTACTTTTAGGACCAATTTATTACTAATACAAGGCAGGTGGTTCTATAAAAAAAAGAAAACTTATAACAAGCCGGTGTCGTTTAACTTCAGTGAACTACTACAGTTCTGCATATTGCAAGACATATCGAATTGGATGTGTTGTTGTCTCTCGAGTTTCGTGCACTAAAGAGGGTGAATCAAGATTCCATCTGTCAAATTACATTCAATGAGAGTCAAGATCGACAGCAATCCGATTGTCCCCATTGTTTCCTTGCGCCTGTGATCCAGTGATGCCAATTCAAGAGCGGATATCTCGCCCACTATCATGTCATTTGTTCTGTTACGTTATTCACTTGCTCTTATTAAAGCAGCCTACAAACATGTCTGACGCCTCAAACCTACCCAAGATCACTGTTGATGCTATTTTTGACTGGAGCCATAATTTTGCATATTGTATATAATGTAACTAACTAAAATATATAATGTAAAACGTCTTCATAAATTGTGTCATGTCTTATATTACTAAGTTTTATGTGATAATCTTATAGAGTTGTTATAGTGAATACTAACTCTACTAACACTGTCAGACACCATTTTTTATTTGATCATGTTTTTAAGGGTGCTGAAAGTAAAATTCAAACTTTACCTGTACTTGTTCCTGGGTTTGGTTAAAAATTAAAAACCCTGTTCTCTTTAAAATAAAGTAATTTGTTAAACACACTGTCATATTATTTATACTAATGTCACTGTTTTTGTATCAGTTCATTCATAACATCATTTTTTCTTTGAAACTGAGCGTGACGATAAGAAAGCTTTCATTAAATATCACACGAATTCGAGTTAAGAAAAATTGCTGAACCTAATTTAATACACAGACTAGATGTCCATGAAATATCATATTTTTTCCAAAACATCGCCATACAAAATTGCTATACCTACCTGATGCCAATACGATTACTGTCATAAATATATCGGCCACATTCACATCACGTGTAATATTTTTTTCTGATCCGCAGCCAATAAAGGCACATAGAAAAATGCTATTACTTCTTTCAAAAATAGCCGATAAAATCCGTTATATCAGAAATACCCTATTAACATTTTCATGATGTCAAAGGACTCGGAGAACCGCAAGATCTCTCTCGTTTAATTAATTATGAACGAGTAAACATATTTCCCCTCAACAACTTTCCTTTTACGCAATCACGAGGAAAAATAACTTTATAGATAAGAAATATGATTTTTTTATTCAATACATAAACCTAGATAGTTATGTGCTAGCTTAATAGACGTCATAATGTCTCACGAGATTAATAATAGTGCTAGTAAAACCCATGGATATAACGCTAAACCATTAACTTAAAATGTCTCGCACCAAAGCTTTCTTCAAGAATGGCGACATCTAACGTTTTATTAAATTGCGGTAAGTACATGAAATAAGTTATTAAATCACTAACACTGATTATTAATCAAATAAAATAAACTGGTCAAGTGAGAGTCAGAATCGCGCACGACTTTTAACATGGCTGGCCGGACAGACAGCGAAGGCTTAATAAAAAGGTTCTGTATCTCCCTTTGGATACGGAACACTGTAACACTATGGATATCTGTTGTTTTAAACTCAAGCAAAGGAATCCAGCCCACATAATAATAATAAATGTGGATTAGAATCAAGATACGAATATAATTGATACAGCAGAAAAACGTGCTATACCATCCCTCTCAAACCCCTTCTTGACAAATCAAACCTTACTATAGTGTCATTTAAACTTAATGGCGGCTGAATGTGAAGATAGCGCAAGTCATAGCGTTGTAAACAAAATTAAGGCGCGCAGGAAATCACTGAATTGAACTGCAACCTGCACATATTTGCGCTCGCTGCTAACTTCACAACTACAGAAGAAAAAGAACAAAACTACAGTGATTTGTTTTGCATTTGTATCTCCACATTCCCTCATACGCTTCAATACTCCAATTCAAGCAGAATGACCGCTAAACTCTACCTGCCTTTATCTAATCAATTTCATATTTAGTGATTTGTTTTGTTTTATCATAATTATTGTTCAACTTAAGGATTGCACCGCTTTAAGACATACCTCGATATTTGTATCGGGCTTCCTTCTTTTATCTACTTAGAGTCTGATAGTGATAGATTTTCTAATTCTCTGGTATTACCTACCTTAATTGTAATGTTATGCATAATACCACATATAGATATTTAAATCTAATATGACCACGTTTGTCTCTAGAAACAGGACCTATTGCGAATAAAAAGAACCATTTGTATCAAATCTTCCAGCATCCACTAAATTCACAAGTTTTATGTCGATTTATTTTCTTATCTGGTCTAGAGGGTAGAATATAAATATAATATGCAAACTGTAGGCTAAACTGTAAATTCGCAAATCTTTGAAGCCAAGCGATGGTTTTGACGTTTAAGGACCAGTTATTTATTGGTCTTTTGCTAGTTATGACCTGTTCTGAATTGGACTTCTTCTTGTCAAGCCTAGTTCTTGTATGGACTATTTCAGCTTTTGACAACTTCCTTATTTGAATACCTTAAGATAATAATAGGTAATGGATCTCAGAATACATTCTGAGAAAACTTCAACTATTGTATAGTTATTTTTCAAGTCTGTGAATCATCACTTAAGATATGTGAAATTATCACTTTAGCTTAAATTTAGTATTGGATATGTACTATTCGTACCTTTCAAAAGTCAGTTCATTTATATCACAACATTTCTCTGATTTTCTAATTTTCTGTGACCTTTGAATTTCTTGCCAATGTTCTATATTCTGTCGGTACTATATTCATGGCATCTGTCCTTCATTTTTTTACTAAATCACTTTGCACTTTACGTTTGGTATCCTCAGGAATAAATCTTACGATAAGTATCACTAATATGAACACGAGCAAGGTAAGAATTTTTAGTAGACATACCGTTTTCTTAAGAATTCTCTTGTTCATTCTCTGTTATATCGAATAAGTCGTTTTGCAATTGCGTTCATGTTTCAACGAAAAATTCACTAGGTTTTTATATATTTGTCGCAAATTGGTAAATTTTATAGTTAGTTTATGTATTGCGTAATGTTGTGAATTTACCATAAGAATTGTACTTTAAAGATTCACAAAGTCACCTAAGTCACTGTATGATATTTCATTCATTCTAACTCCGTCCTCACTTCATAACGAAATTCAAATTTAATTTTATGCAAATTATAATTAAAGTTGTGTCGGAGGCGATGTATGTATGCGCGGGTAAGGGTTAAGTAGAAGGGCATTATTCCCTTTATACAATCTACATAGGTACCGACAGAACAAGTGACTCACTAACGGAACAGATGGTCAGTTATTATAAATCGCACGTTTTCATTAACTGAATCAAATAAACACAGAGCAACTGTTTTCATTAACTGAATTATGCAATGAACAATGAGTAACATTATTATGAATCTGATGCACACAGATTTAATGGAAGTGGATGTTATAAAAAACCTGCGCACCTGAGGAAGCTCGCTTGCGTAACCTAATCAGAGCAAGTAGAGCTCAATGATCGAAGGTTGGACTCGCGTGAGTAATCACAGGTATAAATAAACAGGCACATGTAGTGTAATTATAGATTAAAGAGTTATAAACATGTTCATTTCCGGGAGTACGTAAGTGGTAAACGAGGCTATAGCAGAGCTTAAATATACAGCCTTAAGTACATACACCTTACATTTTGTCCAATGGTTGTGAATCACGAAAATAACGTAGGTTCTATTACACAAGCCTGTTTAAATTTTCAACAAGAACTTTCCATAAACGAACAAAACTAATGCATAATAACATAGCTATACAATAAGTAATAGTAAAACGCTAAGAACAAAAGAAAGTCATGAACGAGTAAAGTTGATAAAAAGTGTAACTTTGTTGTCGAAAGTTTGAAATACCTGCGAGAGGTCCGCGTCTTCTCTAAGTTTCTCGGCGATGGTGGGCTTCCTATCAGCGGCTGCGAGACTCACGCACAACACAGTAAACAACAACACTCCTCTACCCATGGTTGAGAACACAAGGAGACCGGTGTACAACAAGTTTACACTTCGACACTCGCGGGACTCCTCTGTGGAGCGACACAGGGCACGCGTGGCATGACACAGCGCGCGTCGACGAATGCCGGACGATGCCTTGAGTCCCTTCCCGCTCACGTCCCGCGGCCGTTACAGAAAAACTGGTCACTCGTGCCATAAAAAAAATTGACCGTTGATCATTCAAAACTAAGAGTGAAACCACACAAGACATGCATCACTAAAACAAGGATTAGGAAAGGCTTCGAAGATTTATTAGATAAACAAAGAAAGAGCGCAGCTGCATTTCCAAGTTCATCGAAATAAATAAGCAAAGTTGAACATCTTAAGAAAGTAATCAAAAGTAGATTAAAGAAAGAAAACGATCAAATCAATTTTATGTATCAAATTCGGCTGTTTCAAGATTATGGTCATTGATTTAAACTGAATTAATGCGTTTGCTTATTAATTTATTCAAGCAAGACCCATTCTCAGGAGCTACTGTTTATGAAGTTGGTACAACTGGGTGACTGAAATCTGGCAAATCGGATTAAGATATAATCCCTTATGATGAATTGTTGCGTGGTTAGCTATAATAATAATGTTTCTATACTTCTATAGAGTTCCATTAAGACTATTACATATCAGTAACATAAAAACCATTGTTTAGAGCTGTGTAGTACCTACTAAACGTGAACCTATTTAACCATCGATTTACACAAGCTATTAAAGTCACTTTTAAAAGGTTTTTTTTGTTTAAGTCAGTCTCTGACTAAAATCTAATAATGGTTTACTAATATTAACGATAGGCTTATAGTTATAATAAATTCTCTGTCATGCTTATTTTAATGAACGGGTAGGAGTAGCATAATTAATGTTAAGACAAAGATAGTTGATACCTTATTAAGCTTTCCCTTGGACTGGACTATCTTTATGATGAATATGGCAAGTATATAGAGGATTAGTGAACCCATTCAGGATCATTATTGTTATCATGATGTCAATTAACCCTCACTGGGTTATATGACTTCCCTATGGACAGAATCACTTAGGGAAAATGGACCAGGCATGCCTAATGCGTGCAAATTATTCTCATCAACATGTCAATGTCTATCTTGTGCGTATAGTATAATTTATAACTACGTAGTTCACGTGAACCCGAAGACAATTGGTGGACTTTTAAGTGACTTCAAAATGAAGGAGGTTCTCAATCTTTCATTATATATAAATTTGTAGTTGTTATAAAAGAAGGTGTATAAAAGAAGTAGGCATTGAGGATTTTGCAATCGAATTGAAGCACCCGTCTACGAAAGCAAGCATCACCTTATAGAAACACCGTAGGCAAAATTCATCTTTATGTATACCTATAATTAGAGTTCTTGTACTCCACACCTTACTTACGTAGTAGTATGATAACATGTGGATAGGGTAATTTGCTGGGTTTAGCATAAAAAAATCAGCCACGTGCGAGTCAGACTCGTACACCGACGGTTCCGTACAAACCTGTAGGTATATAATAATTATTAAAAAATGTATGTGTTGTAACTTATAATTTACGGTTTGCGCAATTTTTCCTTTATCTGTGTTATAAGACGTTGCTTCATACCAAATTTCAAGATTCTGAGTTCACGGGAAGTACCCTGTAGTTTTTGATTCCCTTGCGAGTTTCGAAAATTTGCGGCATAAACGACTGTATCTTTTGGCTTAGAAGTTTGATTTTTTTTCAGCTCCAAGGGACAGTATTTGATATAAATATCAGCTTGTTACCTCCATGCGTTCCTGAGAAAAAATATCTTTGTAATAGACTATATTATTATGGCCCTTAGTCCATATAATTAATATTTTATCATCCAACTGTATTATTTCTTTGTTTGATACTCCCATACTTACTAGATTTGTTTACTTTTCTAATGAACGTTAAATTTTCAGGCTCGTTAACGTTCAATAAGACAATAGATAGTATCATAATGATGTACATTATACGTACCGAGTAATGTTTGACTCTCTTAGTAATAGATAAGATTATGTACACTGTACAAGGGTCGTGGTGAGCATTCACTCATTAGTGCTAAATATTTTAATATAAAAACCCCTCTACCCTTGAGACAGTCAGTTCTTCTGCAGTTCTTCAATAACCATCGTCATAAGTGGTTGTAATATATTATAATAAAGTGTGTTCGTAAATAACGAGTAATTCCTCTCCAGCACCCCTCTGACATCATCGGCTCACAGTACGCGCGCGCTTTACATCTTGACAGACGGACGCACGAACGGACAACAAAGTGATCCTATAATAGTACTGTTTTTTCCTTTCGAGGTACGGAACCCCAAAAAGATGCTGGTACTAAAATCTTTAGTTGCCATTCGATGCACATAGGCGTTCGCGATAATTTTGTATATCATAATAATTATAAAATTATACTTATAAAATTACAGTAAAGTTAATTTTATATTGACACAAACACTTCCTATTCATTGGCAATATTACGAAAGTAATTTCTAAAAGCTATCCCTTACTCATCTAACAACGAGCAGCTGTACTTGTGAATGTAAAGTTAAATCTAAAAATAAAATCTAAAGAAAATATAACTAGAAAAAAAAAACTAGAAAAAAAAAGTCTAGTCTAAAAGTTTCTAGTTATATTTTCTTTAGATTTAAACATCAAGCAGTTACATGCTTTAAAAATAATGAAAATTATAACTATAATTGCTATTTCGTCTTTCAAATGTTTAATACTTGTAAAAGTATTCATTTGACATTGTGGGTTTACCTATAATGCGAAGAGATGGCGCTGCCTTGCAGCTTAAGAATAGCTAGAAAGAATTTCGACGCGGTCCGTGAGGGCCGCGGTAGCATAATTGGTCAGTGCATTCGCCCGGATTGCGAAGGGTGCGGGTTCGAGTCCCGTCTGCTGCCTGGTCCGCGTGAAATTTTTTTCTAGTTATATTTTCTTTAGATTTAAACATCAAGCAGTTACATGCTTTAAAAATAATGAAAATTATAACTATAATTGCTATTTCGTCTTTCAAATGTTTAATACTTGTAAAAGTATTCATTTGACATTGTGGGTTTACCTATAATGCGAAGAGATGGCGCTGCCTTGCAGCTTAAGAATAGCTAGAAAGAATTTCGACGCGGTCCGTGAGGGCCGCGGTAGCATAATTGGTCAGTGCATTCGCCCGGATTGCGAAGGGTGCGGGTTCGAGGCCCGTCTGCTGCCTGGTCCGCGTGAAATTTTTTTCTAGTTATATTTTCTTTAGATTTAAACATCAAGCAGTTACATGCTTTAAAAATAATGAAAATTATATCTAAAAATAAAGCTCAACTCTCATTTATAAAACAAAGGAACAGAGATTTTCATTGACTGACAACAAAGATGAAAATCTCTTAATTATTGACAGAAAACAAGTAACAATTCAGTTTTATTACGACTGTAAGTTGTAAGAGATGAAATAATTTATTGTGAATTTCTTAGACCGCTTTATTTAATACATAGTTAAATGTGACTAGTTATATAGTTATAATAGTTAAAATACAATAGAAAATAAATAAAATGACAAATTTTGTCACATTCTTATATTAGAATCGTCAAATGCATAGGTATTAATTAGAAGTGCAATTGAGTAATAGTCAAAAACTATGTTTCAAACAACGTGGCCTTGGGTGGGTATATACTTAACCGAGTAATTTATTAGACGACCCTACCGATATTCCCAATCAAGTCATTGAACAGAATATAAGTCTTTTAAATATTTTATTATAAATAATCCTACGAATGGATAGATTCTTTGTGTTTGTATGGTTGTTGTAAGGAATTCTGGTTTCCACGACATAAGTTTTAGCTAATTCACCTTAGGATCAGTACAATTTGGTTTAGGAGTTAGAAGTTTAGAACCTATTATAATGTTAGCATACTGTGTACTCAATCTGGAGGTAGGTACAAATTGTCACCTAAAACTTTTGAACACATTTTTTTTATGAATCTGGTATGTTTCTGTTTGTTATTAAATAAGATTATAAGCGGTTCATGTCGGGAATAGAGACTCGGCCATGCTTAATGTGCGATGCATTGTGTTTGATATTGTCGGTTTTTACCTGCTCTAAGTTTAAGGTGCCGGCGGCGGCGGTGACGGTATAGAGGCACCTACCCATAGGTAGGTACGTGACGGGAACTCATTATGGCCTATTGTTATTAACGGTGGCGTTCACCACTTAAGCTGATGTTTTATACATCCCCAAGGTGAGCTTGAGCTTTCGTGCACGACAACGCTTTTCCTAATTTCTATACAATGTTATAAAGTACCTTGTAAAATGAATTTGTTTGCATTAATTTATTACATACAAAAAGTTCCGCTATTAGGTTATGTAATAAAATATGCTTTGTTCATAAATCGCTTTTAATAATTATGACTTTTAAAGTATCAGTTTATTTATTTCTTAAGTTTTTACGCGGTCCATTGATTCTTTACGTTATTCTTGACCTATTCAATTCAATTCAATTTATTGCACTCATGTGGTTACATCGATGGTTACAAAATGCTTATAGTACCTAACATGAACCCTGTCAGTGTATCGCAATATACAGTACAGTTAAAGATAAAAATTACAAAAGAATTTAATTAATAAACAATTATGTATATAAGGAACCTAATTTGTATTAAACCACTTATATCTCAAATTATGAATAAATGTCATCTAATTCCATTAGTTTAACAATATAACTTACTCAATTAATCTTATTAACAATAGAAATATAATAGAAATGGAAATTCATTTATAAAATTAAATTAAATTTGTCAGAAATTAAAATTAATAAATATATCAATAAAATATGGAATTTAAAAAAAATCGCCCCATTAATATTATTTTGTTGTAAAGTGTTCATTTATATATATCAAAAAGTATATTTAAAAGCATTTATCTAATAAATATATTTTCTTTCTAACTTTGTGCATGCATATATTAAATTATTATCTATTTGAAATTTAAATATTCATCCATAGAATAGAAGCATTTATCAATTAGGAAATTTTTAAGTTTTGTATTAAATGTGGTAATATCCTATAGGATCCTTTACAAGTACCGATAGACGTTGGCCTGCAGAGTA